GCATATTGCGCAGCAGCAACATATGGATACTGATAGTAGGAATTTGATAAGGCATAGGACCAGAAGCTTGTTGAGAAGCTTGCCCTTTCTGCAAAAAGATGGCATTTGTTTCGCCCTCCTTCTTTTTGTATCCATTGAAAGGCTTCTTGGCATTAGCCTGGCTATTAGAACCTCCTGGGATCTTCCCACTCTTCAGCCCTTCCTCAATCCTCTCACCGACAATCACCAAGTCAGAGAACCCAGCGGAGGCACTACCGATCAACTTTTCGTAGTATTGGCCTTGCAAGGTCCCCATGAAAATGTCAATAAGTTCACGGTCAACAAGAGGTGGGTGCACCCTTGCGGCTAGCTCTCTCCATCGTTGCGCGTACTCCTTGAAGGATTCGTTATCCTTCTGAGTCATACTCTGAAGCTGAGTACGGTTTGGAGCAAGATCGGTGTTGTATTTGTACTGCTTGACGAATGCATCGGCTAGCTCAGCCCAAGTGCGTACGCTGTTACGCTCTAACTGCATATACCATTCGAGTGATGCCCCAGACAAGCTGTCCTGGAAGCAATGGATCATGAGCTTTTCATCTCTGGCATAGGCAGCCATCTTGCGACAGTACATCTTCAGATGAATATTCGGGCAACTGAGACCTTTGTACTTTGAAAATTCGGGCACCTTGAACTTTGGAGGAATGACAACATCAGGCACCAAGCACAATTCCAAAGCACTGAAAGAATTTGAGTTATGCCCCTCCATGGCTCGGAGTTTCTCGGCTAAATCTCGGCACATCTTCATGGCTTCAGAATCCTGAGCGGCAACAGGACTGGCAATGGGGATAGCAGCATGATAGTTCTGAACGTCGTCATACTGATCCATCAGAGTATCTTCGATATGAGGAACTGGGATTTGCACTGCAGTAGGCTGGGCGTGCGGGATAACTCCAACGGTAACTCCAGGCGCTGGGATTGGCTGAGAAGTGTTTCCTTCGACTGCGTTGTTGAAGTTCAACGACATCCCATGAGAATTTGGAATTGGAACCAAAGGGATGGCAGTAGACCCTTGTCCATTGTTGTTGACGACAGCAGCGGCTTCACGCTGTTCTTCCTCTCTCCTGGCTGCGAGGATGGCTTCGAGGATCTGGTCGATCTTTCCTTTCATAGAATCCAACTCCTCCTTGAAGGCAACTTGCTCTTGTTGAATCTGCTCCATCATTCGTCTGGTATTGGCTCTAGTTGCGTACTGGTTTCGGGGAATCAGCTTGATTTACTGGAGAAGAAGGAACGAAGACATAAAATTCTGTTGGAGGACTGGAAATGCAAAATGCACAACATATGAAATGCAATGCGAATGATATGCAAGATGAAATGCAAGATACAAGACCCAGGATCACAGGATCACAATCAAACAACTCCTGAAGCTGATAACTGTGGTAGATAAGTAACCATAATTCCTGCTCAAAGAAAAATTGATAGGTACGACCTATACGGGAAGGTCTAAACATTCTACCCATAGACCCTCTCACGGGATGGTTTCTATGTTTGGTCCCCAGGATCACGGACACTAGTTGCATTAGCGTCACGCAACAGGCTGGCTGTATTACGATGATAATGACGATAAGGTCTCTCCTGAGCGGGGTCCTCATGCTAGGCGCTCAAGGAGCGAGTCCTTGGAGACTAACATTACACGACCACCAATATCGGAACCGGTGCTAACAAAAGGTTCCCAGAATCACGGACCCTTCATTAATCAAGTCGTGCAACAGGCTAGCTGTGTTACAACAAGATCTACGAATAGGTCTCCTCTGGAGGAGCTTTCATGCTAGGCCCATAAGGAGCAAGTCCTCGGAGACTAACACTACTCGACTACCAATTCTAAACTATGTGTTCTCTCTGCTTTTACCAAAGCTCGGGCATAGAGCCTTACTCATGATGTTATCCCAAAAACCAACAAGCCCAGATAACAAGCACAAATAAAATCCTCAAGAGAACAAATACATGAACAAGAAGAAAACAGAATAAAAACAAACACTCCTCACAAACCAAAAGATAGGCTTGACTCTCTCTTTGCATGGAGCAAAGATGTCCCCAGCAGAGTCGCCAGCTGTCACACCTCGAAAATTCATTCGAACATACGACCCTCGCGCGAAAGGCGCGGAAATGCGGTTCGACAGAGTCGCCACCGAACTTTATTTTTCCCGAATAGACGGGAGAGGAAAATATCGAGAAAACCTCCTAAAAACGAAGGGATAGGAACAGGGCTGTCGCAACCATGTTCCGGGTTCGGGAGTCGGTTACGTGAGGGGAAGGTATTAGCACCCCTCACGTCCGTCGTACTCGACGGGAACCTCTTAAGGTATTTTGTGGGGAGTGTTATTTAGGTTTACTTGTTTCCTTCTCGCTGTTAAAGGTAGAATTGGTAGAGTAAAAGGTTAAAAAACGCAAAGGAGAGACGGGTGGTTAGAAGATGGGATGCTCGCCAAGGATTGGGGCCCTTGTGCCTACGTATGCTCATTCAAACGAGAATGAGAAATCAGAGCGCCGTAGTTCGACTACGGGAAATGATGGGGGAAAACGGAAGATAGATAGAAGTGTGCTCGCCAAGATCATCGCAATCTTGTGCCTACGTATCTTACATTCAAGAGTGAATGAAGAATCAGAGCAGTCGTAGTTCGTGGAGACGACCACGAAAATATGAGGTTGAATGGATTGGAGTTTGAGCTTGAGACAAAAGGGTGACTGACAAGCAACCCAAGAGCGCGTCTCAAGAGCTTGTCACTCAAGAATTCAAGGAATGCGAAACTCCAAGAACTCAATTCTTTCAGGAATTGACTGAATAAAGAGAAGATAAAGAGTTGGATGTTTTGAAATCGAAAGAATGAATTAATAACAACTTAAAGGCGCGCCTCGAGAGTTACTCATTCGAATATTCGAAGAATGCTTGATTCTGAGAATACCCCTCTTTCGTAAGTTTAAAAAATGTTTGTGAAAGGATCGAATCGAAGAATGGCATGCGAGGCCAAAGGAAGTTGGTTTGGAAGTAACTCGACGACGTGTCGAGGATTTGATTGAAAATGGAACCGACTTGACGACGTGTCAAGTGTTAAGTTGTGAGAAATGATATTGGTCCCTAAGGGTGCTTCCAATATCAAAACCACGGAGATTTGTGAATGAAATGTGGGTTGCGAATGCGGACGAGCATTCGACTTAGGAGAATGTTTGAAAGTGATTGAATTCGAAAGGTTGAGTGAATAACAACTCAAAGGGCGTGCTTCGAGAATTATTCACTCGAAGACACAAGGAATGCTTGACTTCAAGTGCCTCTTTCTTTCGGGGTTTTGATCAAAAAGACGTTGAGAATATACTTGAGAAAATCAAAAGATTGAATGAACAACAACTCGAGAGCGAGTCTCGAGATTTGCTCATTCGAAGATCCAAGAAATGCTAGATTTCAAGAATCTCCCTCTTTTGGAGTTTTTTCGAGAAAATGTTTAAAAGATAATTTGAAGTGCAAGTGAAATAGTCTCGACCAAAATTATCATCTATCAATAATTTTGACCGATAATAATTTAAAAATTGTCATTGACCAAAATAAGCAAGAAATCGATAAAAATCAAAAATGAAAGAAGTTAAGAAGAAAACGGTCTCGGGTTTGTCATTACTCGTCAATAATTTGACAAAGTTATAACTTGGGGTATCGTCATCGACCATAAAAAGAAGTTAAAGAATAATAAAAACACAAAAATTTCTAAAACTTTAATAAAAAACAAGTGAAATTATTAAACAAAATGGGAATTATAAAGTGCTTAATAACAATTTAATCCTAACAAGGTGTGAAAATTAAAAGAAACTTTAGAAAACAAAGTGGGCTTGGCTGAAATCAAAATGTGGACAAGATATATGGACTGAACCCAAAGCAAAACCAATATCCCCTTTTTCAAATGAAAGCACGGTGGGGGTATAACACATATATGAGGTATATGATTTATGATGACTAAATGAATCATGGGTTGTGCCCGTTCAACATAAAAAACGAAAGGAAAAGAAAAAGAATACGCAGGTTTCCAACATGACTTCATCAGCCCAAAACAACAAAAATATGAGACAGAATGATTGTAAGCTCACGTTGAAACAAGAGGACAAAGACACAAATGAAAGACAAGTAAACAACCCTCAATAATAGAAGTCGCGACGGCCTAGGAAATACCGTCTTCTAATTCAATCTGTCTCGCATATGGATCTTAGGTTCGAAACCCCTTCTCAGCTTTATTTCAGATCATTTCTCCCCCTTTATCTCCTTTCGGTTTAAGGTTGAAGAATTTTGAGGTTATGAAGATGGATTTCAATGTTGGTGAAGGAGGATTTAGGTTTTGGGTTTATAAAGTTGGGTTTATTCCATGGTTGCTATTTCCATGGAGAAAAGGCTGAAAGAGTGCGAAGTTTTAATGGTGGAGGTAGCTTGAAGATTGGGTTCATTCGGTTTAGGTATTTTTTAAGTTGTTCGAAGAGGGTGAGAATTTGGGATGAAGAAGATTGGAAACTAATTGAGGTTGAGGTAAAGTGAAACCAGATATCGTGGAGGGAAAGGGTCCTTTTTGATGAAGGGTTTTCGTGTGGTTTTGAGGGTAGAGGGAAATCTTTGAAGGAGATGACGGCTAGGGTTTTTGAGTCGCTATGTTTTCGGTTGGAGGCCCCCCTTTTACTCTGAGAGAAGATGATATTTATGTAAGCTCTAAAGGGTATCTTGGGAATTTGGGAGGAGGTACGATGTTGTGGTTTTGCTACACTGTAGGATGAAAAGCAGAGGGGGTACGTGGTTCTGGGCTGAACTTTATACAGGTTTCAATGTATTTTTTTAGAATGGTACAAGTAGTGGTGTATTGTGAACTTTTCCGTACAAGTTAAGTGTGTGACACATCTGTTGCTGTGTTGGTTTATTCTGTGTTTTGAACTTTTCGCAGGGTCATTATAGTTGAAGTTAATAACAATGGGGTCATTTTTTTTGGGGGTTTGAAATGGGAAGCAGAAAGCAAGAAGAGAATATTGAGAAGATTATTAGGGGGCTTATGAAGCTTCCGCCGAATCGAAGATGTATCAACTGTAATAGTTTGGGACCTCAGTATGCATGTACGACTTTTTGGACCTTCATTTGCATAACTTGCAGTGGAATACATCGTGAGTTTACTCATCGTGTGAAGTCTGTGTCAATGTCAAAGTTCACTTTGAAAGAAGTTGATGCTCTTCAGAGTGGCGGCAACCAGCGTGCAAGGGAAATATTTTTGAAAAACTTGGGACTTCCAAAAACAACGGTTGCCAGATAGCAGCAACGTTGATAAAGTAAGGGAGTTCATAAAGAATGTATATGTGGATAAACTATATGCTGGAACAAAGTCATTTGAAAGACCTCCAAGAGATGCACAGAGCCCCACAATTCATGATGACGAGATTAGACGTGCCAGTTCTTATCATTCATATTCACAAAGTCCTCCTCCATATGATAATCAATGTGAGGACCAGCGCTATGGAAAGCAAGCAGGGGCTCTGACGAGAAAGCCTGGTTTAGATAAAGTCCGCTATGAAGGGAAGATATCTAGTATTATCTATAGTCCTGGTCGTTTCAGTGACAGTGCATGTAACAGCCCAAATTTCATTAAATAATTAATTATAGTAATTAATTGATTTAGTGGGATTTTATTAATGTTGGAAATTAATTTTTTATTAATTGGGATTAATAGAGAATTGAGAAGGAAATTGGAAGGAAGGAAAATGAAGGAAATATATATAAGAGAGAAAGAAAAGAAAAGAAAGATAGAAAAACATTTTGGAAAGAAAGAGGAAAGAAGAAGAAAGGAGAGAAAGAGAAGAGAAGAAGAGGAAAAGTGGAAATCGTCAAGAACCAACATCAAAGCTCCGATTAATCGAGGTAAGGGTGAGAAATGTTTCTATTTGATCATGGTATGATGTTATGTATGATGGGTTAGGGTTTTAGTAGAGTTTCCATCACTTTCTATTTAGGGCAAAATGTTGGATAATCGGTAGATTGAGGATTTAATCGGTTGAAACTGAGCAATAATACCGTAGAGTAGTCGGGTAACATGTATTGATGTTGTTTGTACTGATTTGGATGTGTAAGAGAGGGTTGATGATGGATTGGTGAAGGAGGAACAGAATGGGGTTCTGTTCTGCGCAGGTTCGCTGGCTCTCGCCAGGCGAGCGAAGGCGAAGCTTCGCCAGGCGAAGCTTAGCGAATGTTGGCGAATAATTATAATTAAGTCCCAGTAGACTTCGCTGGTGGGTTCGCCAGGCGAAGTTGGATAGCGAAGGTTCGCCCAGCGAAGGTGCCGGCGAATGGTGGCGAATGAAGTCAGTAGCTCCTGACTTGGGCTCGCTGGGAAGTCTCGCCAGGCGAAGCCTAGCGAGTGTTCGCTGAGAGAGTTCGCCAGGCGAAGGCCAGGCGAAGGTTCGCTGCGAGGGTTCGCCAGGCGAATGAAGGCGAATGTGGCAGTATATTTTTCTTTGCTGTGTTATCCAATGGGGATTGTTTGGTTGATTCGTATATGTTTATACTTCTATGTTATGAATGAGTATGTGAACTATTATGATAACATTTGCTGTGGGTAGCCTTCGGGCGTGAATCCTAGAGTCGTTATATGAATGATTAATTGTAATCGGTTAAAATACATGAGAACATAATGATGATTATGTGTGTATTAATTGATGAGTTGTGAATGTTTGATTGTTGTGTACAATTATGTAATGAGTATGCATGAGAACATTTTGAATATGTGTGCGTATCTTATAATTGTATGATTGGTATTGCGATGTGAATACCTTGATTGTTGTGATAATTAGAGATACATGGGAATACAATGAGGAATGTATGTGTATCGTCTAATGAATTGTGAGTGCATATATGTATGCGATTGTTGTGAGAATGCATGGGAACATAGGTGATATGTGTGCATTGTTGTTGAATATGATGATGTGTGAAATGAATACATTGATAAATGTTTGATATATGTTGTATGTGCAATCATAATGAAATTCTCGAAGGGGTGAATTATTCGAATGCATGGGATTAAGACGCGGGAACGGTCTTAAGTGCATTTATTGTGATTGGTTGATTGTACATGCATCATTCAGTCAAGAGGCAATGTCTGTTAGTTTCGTGGAAACTAGTGGCTTGTCCCAAACCTAGAAGGGTGGGTTTGAAGCCTAGGGGACGGGCTTGGATGTTATCGGTCTAGAAGGGTGGACCCGGTTTAAAGTAAAAACCGAAAAATGATAACGAGTTATCGGTCTAGAAGGGTGGACCCGGTTTAACGTAAAAACCGAGAAAAGATAACGAGAGTCGGTACCGCATAGCATTGAATTGCATTGAAATGTTGAGTCACATTGCATAATATTGTTGTGGTACAAACGTGTTTGTGAATGATTATGAAGCCAAGCATGAAGGGATGTGCTTGTGGATGTTCATAATGTTGATAGATGTGATGTAATATGATTATGATTGTGAGAATGAAGTGTGGTGAGAAATGTGAATATGTGTTATATGATACCTATATATATATAATCTTATGCTTTGATTATTATGGTTATATTTCTCACCCTTCTGCTGTTTTATAATGCTCTATGAGGCATTGCAGATTAGGATGCTGGAGTCCTTTTGTGAAGAATAGTCTTCATTCTTTTGAGTCTACTGCTCTGATATGTAACACCGGGTAGTTAGACTAGTGCAGTCATTCTTTTGTAATACATTGCGATGTATCAGCTGATGTGGTTTTGTAATCTAACTGATATGATACATATTAAATTAGATAGCTTATGTGTACGTGGATTAATATTTTGAAAATGATCAAATGATTTTATCTTCCGCTTAAATTGAAAATGTTACATATTTTATGGAGCAAATTGTGAAAGTGTTTTATTGGTGAAATTGTGGCATTCTTCTTTTATACCTTATTATAAAACCTTTTTACTCTGATAACTTGTATGTGCTTAGCTGTATTATATGCATTTATTTGGGTATAGAAGGGGGTGTTACAGTGCATATGATGAAAGATTTACAAATGAGAGATCTGGTCCAAGAAATTCTGACTTTTCCGCATCCAGTGGTCATGAGCAATTCAAATCCGATGTTCAATCTCCTCAGTTTCGTAAGGACGTTGAGTTTAACAGCCCATCTCATAAACGTCCTGGTTCTAGTTCAAGTGAAGATGTGTGGACTCAAGCAAAAAATGCAGCTCTCGAATCTAATGCCGCTGCCAAGAGAGATGCAGATGGAATTCGTCATCCGCAGAGAACTACATCATTGCAACCAACAGACAGCAACTTTTCAACCTTAAGATCTTACAATTCTGGCAGTTCAATTGATTTTTTTCTGGAAGCTATCCAATCTTCAGGGTCCCTTCAAGATACAGCATCAGAAACTTCACTGCAATCTGGTCCTGTAAGAACTGTTAGCTTGGATCTTTCCAAGGCACCAGTGGCATCAGCTTCATCTGTTATTCTTTCTCAAACAGCTGCACCATCTCAAGCTCCATTTGGAGATAAATTAGCATCAGAATTAGGCTCATCTCTTCATGCACAGCTTTCTCGTGATGGTGTCAATTGTTGCAACATTCATGGTAGTGGTTGTTGTTTTGAGTTTTGAGGTAATTGTGTAACTTTTGCAGAAGCAGCCATTGGAGCAAGCCCGATACCAGGTTTTGAGCTTTGGTCTTATGCTAGACTCTTGGAATGAGCTGGTAATGGCCTTGATGTGTTTTCCTGTTTTTTGTCCTTTCTGAAATTTATTTTGTATGTGCAGTGCTTGCTATATGATACAAGCTTGCGGCGGGTGGTCCATGATTCGTGAGCGTATGTAATGGAGCTTCAAGAGAAAACCATAGGTTTTGCAGGGCAATTGTGATCTTTTGAATTTGGTGAAAACTGGTATGTTGTTTACAGGTCGTATGCCAATTCAATTGTGGGAATTATCACTCTTGCTTTTTGGAGTGGGTTACCCATTCATGTAGGAACATTTCTTTTCGGTTTATGCAGGTCATACGAAATTACGGTCAGGGTGAAGGAACTGTGCGCGTGGTTTTTGAATTGTGTTATGCAGCAGGTGATAACATGTTGCTTTGGATGAGCTGCGAGGGGTATTACGATAACATGATGGGTCCTTCAAATTTGCGTGTTGAATGAGTGACGTGGTATCCTTGTGCATAGGCTTTTTCTCAAGAGATATTCTTCACGTGCCGCATATTTGAACCTAATCCAAAAGCCTGTGTTTGGCAACTCTGTATAGAAAATGACAACCTTTTTGCTATTGTCTTGTGGTATTCTGTGAATGAACGGCATATGTGCTTTATGTTTTATTGAAATGTTGTTGCTGATTGTGTTTTTTTCGTTTCTTTTCATGCAGATAAAAACAAGTTTTTATGGCTTGTTATGTTGTTCTTCTTTTGCAGGTAATGGTTGGAATTGTGAAAAGCAGGATGGCGGGTCGTACGATTGGCAATTGTCGTGTTTTTTGACGTAGCAGAAGTTTTTGCAGGAGTAGAGCAGCAGTGTAGCAAGTCTTGTGTGTTTTTCATGTCTTCCATACCCGAATAGTGCCATCTACCGATGAAGTTATCATTCAGTTTTCCTTTGGGTGATAACTTACACTTGTAACCACTGAGGCATGGGCCCTGAATTTTTGACACAACAGATGCATCTACAAGATCCCCGAAATAGACGAAGCCATCCCCGAAGCCACCAGTTACATGAGCATCCGTATTAGTGAGGCAGTAATCCAATTTGTATGACTTATTAGTGTGTCCTTTATATTCTTGTAATAATTCGCCTGTGGTTCTGTTTCAAAAGACCCACAGTAGAGTCTAAGCAACCGGCTAGGATGCAGTTGCCTTCTTTTGACATTGATATACAGTTGACATATTGCCCTAAGCTATCAAATATTTCTCTGCCAATACGAATAATAAATGCTCGAACAGTTCCATCAACACTTCCTCCGATAATTTCATTTTTTGCTAAACAGAACAAAACATTACACTGTCTGCAAATGTGTCAGTAACCTGTATTGGCTCAGTGCTGTGGGATCTGCAGTCCCAAGCGCGCAATGATTGATCATAGCCTGCTGAGGATACAACAGATGAATATTCATTGAATTTTACACCATTTACCTCACCATCATGGCCACAAAACTTTCTTATTACACGGCTAGTAGCAACATCCCAATAGAAAACTTGCCTATCTCCACTGCAGGGACATAACTTGGAGTTGTCCCGTCGGAGTTGAACCTGGCGACGAGCACGTTCGCCTCCTTTAGCGGAAG